CCGCTCTTTCCTGGATCATCTTGTGGATAGTTGCCGGTAACAACAGAAGGGGAGGGAAGGCATAAAGCAGGTGTGCCGGCCACTGGCATTGGAGGGCATCCATTCCCTCTGCTCTCCGTGCCGGGAATCTGGAAAAGAACCTGGAAAATTGAGTGTTCGACGTGGAGGCAAACAGATCCAGATGAGGACGCCCAAACCTCATTGAGATGTCCCTGAGCAGGGTCGGATCCAGTCGCCATTCTGAGTGGTCCACCGTGGCCCTGCTCAGGGAATCTGCTTGTCAATTTGCCTCCCCTGAAATGTGTTCTGCCCTGATGGACCTCAAGTTGGACTCTGCCCACAGGCCCAGATCCAGGGCCTCCTGCATGAGCGCCCAGGACCGGGTCCCTCCCCGTTTGTTGACATGAGCTTTGGCTGCCACATTGTCCGTCAGGATGAGGATATGTTGTCTCTTCATCAGGGAGGAGAACTGTAGGAGTGTTAGGTGTATAGCCCTGAGTTCGAGCCAATTTATATTGTGGGCTAGGTCCGATCGGGACCACTACCCCTGGGCCAGATGAGTTTGAAGATGGGCACCCCAACCGAATAGACTGGCGTCTGTGGTTAGGGTGAGCCTGAGGGGCTCCTTGAAGATGGTCCCCTTGGTCATCGCGGATGAGGTCCACCATAGGAGTGATAACAAGGTATGGTGGGGACTCTGACCCTCCTGTTGGATGCACTGAGGTTCTGTTTCTGGGAGGGAAGGAGGAACCATTGTAGGAGTCTTGAATGGAGTCTGGCCCATGGAACGATGCCCATGCAAGATACCATCTTTCCCAGGAGTTTGGACAGTTGTACCAGGGGTACTGTTTTGTCCCTCCGAATCTGATGTACCAGCTTTCGGATGCTGACCCGACGTTCCTGGGAAAGATAAACCCTGCACAGAGTCTATGACTGCCCCAAGGTACAGAAGTCGTTTTGTGGGGATAGTGTGGCTCTTCTTGAAGTTCACTGAGAACCCATGCATCTGAAGAGTGTGTATCGTGATCTGTAGATCTGACTGGGCCGACTGAAGGGAACTGGACTGGACAAGAATGTCGTCTAGATAGCACTGCACCCGAACTGGTATCAGCCTGAGGTGAGCCGCCAAGATTGCCAAAACCTTTGTGAAAACCCTTGGAGCTGAGGATAGACCGAAGGGAAGGGCTCTATATTGGTAATGCCGGTGTGCATAGCAGAATCTGAGGAACTTGCGATGTTCTGGGTGTATGGGGATATGTAGGTACGCCTCTGTGAGGTCTATGGATGAGAGGAAATCCCCTTTTCTGATACTGGCGAGTATGGACTTTAGGGTCTACATCTTGAACCTTCTGTAGGTCAAGAAGTGATTCAGACCCTTTAAGTCCAGTATTGCCCTCCATCCTCCTGAGGCCTTGGGGACCACAAACAGAATGGAGTGGAACCCCTTTCCTTCCTGACCCCTTGGTACAGGTTCTATGGCTTGGATTTCTTCCAGATGGGAGATGGCCGTAGCTACCAAGTTTGCCTTGGTTGCATTTCGTGATATCGGGCACCTTATAAAGTGGTTTGGGGGGTGAGAGTAGAACTCCAGGGTGAGACCATACTTGACAGTCTCCCGTACCCAACAGTGGGAGGTGGTCCTTTCCCAGACGTCGCTGAACCGCTCCAGACGACCCCCGATGGGAGAGCCCTCCCTGGTGTCACTTGGACCGCCTGTACAGGCGACCGCCTGATCCCCTGAAGGGACGCTTAGATTGGAACTGGCCTTTGGCTCCAATGTTCTGGCGGTCCTTTCCCTGCCTGGAAGGGAAAGATTGTGAGCCTCTTGACCAATCCCAGGACTGCCCCACCCGAAAGGGCTGTCTCCATTCCCAGGAAACACTGGGGCAGAAGGCCTGCCTAGGAAACTCCTGTTGGGGCCGCCTATTGGACCGTTTGGAAGGATGAACGAGTATGTTGCGTTTATCCTTGCCCTCAATAATGTGAGATTCCAGGATCGATCCAAACAACTGTGTACCACTATATTTGGACGTGGACAAGCGCCACTTTGACTTCAAATCAGTTTTCCACTATTTCAACCAAAGAAGCCTACGAAAGGCAACCGTGGCCGCAATGGATCTGGCAGAGTACCTGGTGGAATGCAGAGAAGCATCTGCCACATACTCTGATGCGGTCACTAGCTTTCCCAGGGTCTGGTGTGTTCGAACCTGATCCAGTGGAACGATTGCTTACAGCTCCTGAAGCCACATGATTGATGCCCTGGCGAAGAAAAAGGATGAAGTTGTGGCTTTGATCGTCCAGGCCGAAGTCAGTTTTAAAAATAGACATTTGCCCCTTAAAGGCACTACGAGAGAGAGGTCATGATATCACTTAGCCCACCATGGGTTGAGATATATAGCTTAGTATCATCAGCATATTGATGATATTTCAGTCCATGGTGACCAATGATCTTACCCAACAGTTTCATGTAAATGTTGAATAGAAGTAGAGAGAGTATCAAGCCCTGCAGGACCCTGCAAAACAATGGGCGAGGGCTGGATCTCTTACCACCTATTAGCACTTAGTAAGAGTGGCTACAGAGGAAGGAAGTGAACCAGAATAACATAAAGACCTCTATTCTCAACCCCAGAAGCTGCTCCAGAAGAATACCATGGTCAATGGTATCAAAAGCCACTGAGATGTCTTCAAGGATGCATGTACTGCCCCCAACCCTGCTCCCGGCAGAGATCATCAAAAGCGTGACCAATGCCGTTTCTGCCCCATATCCAGGTCTGAATCCTGACTGGTAGGAGTCTATAGATCAGCGGTTCTCAATCTATGGGTCGTGACCCTATTTGGGGTCGATCGACCATTTCACGGGGGTCGCCAAGCAAGGCTGTCCGCCATTTTTCCCTTTTCCGGTGGGTGCCTTACCTCCCTTGAGCTGGGCCAGCTGGTGGCCCAGCCGGTGGTCGCCCTGCTCCTTCTCTGCCGTTTGCCAGCTATGCCTCGGCCAGCGCAGGGGGCAGCACCACGCATGTGCAGCGCTCCCGGGCAGGGAAAGTCCTCGACTTATGACTGGTTGGGTAGTCCTAGACTTACGACCGGTTTAGTCCTCGACTTATGACCGGTTGGGGGTCGTGGCATTAAAAAGGTTGAGAACCACTGCTATAGATAATCCATTTCATCCAGAAATCTCTGGAGCTGCCATGCAACCACCTTCACAACAACCTTCCCCAAAAAAGGAAGACTGAACATAGATCGGAAATTATCCAACAGGGTGGAATCTAGTGATGGCCTCTTGAGAAGAGGGTGGACCACAGTCTCCTTAAAGTGCTGGGGCACTACCTCTCCTGTAAGAAAGCATTAATCATTGCCAAAATCCACCTGCATGTCACCTCCCGGGAAGCTTTCACAAGCCAGGAGGGACATGGGTCTAAAACACAGGTGCTTGCGTGCATATTTCCTAGGATCCTGTCCACTTCCTCAGGAGCAATGGGGTCAAACTGTACCCAAATAATAGGGCAAGAACCTGCCCCAGGGGCCTCCCCCGGACCAGCAACCATGCTGGCATCTATCAGGGAACAAAGTCAAGCAATTTTGTCTTCCAGAAAATCCGCAAATTTCTCAGCACGCCGCTTCAGGTGGACCTCAGTCTCCTCCTTTCCATTTTAATAGGAAGGCCAGTTCATAACAAATTTGGAATAGCTGTAGAGACCCTGTTCCTAGAGGATGGAAATAGAAATAATTATAGAAATAATCCAGCTTTTGCTTTTCTAATCTTTTGGCATTCCAGTTCCATAATTCTCATCCATCATGGCTGAGAGTTCCCATCCCAGCACATCTGGACATCATGTTCAGTAAGGAAATCTTGCTTTGTTTTTAAGATGTCCAGCAAAAGTTTGCTTTGTCAAATATTAGAAGTTTAGAAGTCAACTTAGCAGAGAAGCTCCCCAGCCTAGGCATCCCCCTGTTTGTGGACTTCAGTTCCACAATTCTCAACAAGACTATGACTGTTGAGTATTGTGGGACGCTTTATTGGATATACAAAAAAAGCTGGATAAAGTTTAAAATTATAGGAAATGTAAGTGATAAATCAAAAGTATGATCTGGATGATTTTTTTATAGTCTTTGCCTAATGACCATTCATTCAGCAACTGTTCCAATTTATGGAGATGCTGAATAAATGGTACTTATGTCCAGTCCTCAAAGTTATGGCTCCCAGACGTCTGGCCAAAATTTGGATGCCTGGCAGTCAGCATACAATGACAACCGAAGTTGTCAACTTTCCCAGCTGTCTATCTATCCACACACCCCCTCCATATACACACAGATCTCTGTCCTGTTGGCCACCCTGTACAGCAATACTCCTCAGCTGGGGCTGAAGTATAGGCCTGGGGCTTTTAGCAATCTTAGCCAGCTTTCCCTGTACCCAAGGCCTCTATTTTACCCTCAACATTGCTGCCAAGGAGTGTCATCTCAAGCTCTGCATGTAGCCAGCCACTATAGCACCACAACACAAAGTCTCGCATTACCCTGTGCTCCATAGGCCTGTCACACCCAATTGATTTTCCTGCTGCTGAGGCATGCCTGACCTGGACCTATGTGAAGTAGTTGCTTGCTACACCAGGCCTTCTTCTGGAGGCCATCTGCACCTTTCTCCAAATAGCATGTGCTGCTTTTAGAAGGGCTTCTGAGGCTGTGCCACTGTTCTCCAAATAGTACAGCTTTAAGCATTTAAAGATCCTTGAAATAATTTAAATAAATAAGAGAGGCAAAAATGCCAAAATAATTATTAAATTCATTTACTTAGATTTAATTTTGATAGTTTTGTCTTATTTCCCACTTATTTAGCAGAACTCTCAATACCTCCATATTTATAAATATAGGAATGACTGACCTTCCATGTTTTGCAACATCAAAACATTTCTTCAGTCAACAAGCAATGAGCATAAAAATGGGGACAACTTAGAAAAACAAAAATACACAAAAACAGAAGCAATAGGGTATTTCATTATTACCTGAAATAATTGAGGCAATGCTTTTACCATTGTGTAGAACCATATTCCCACTTTACATGGAAGTAGGTCCCGCCACTGTGGTTTTTCCACCAGTCTACAAAAAACACATTTAAAAAAACAGAAATTACTAGTGGTTCTTTTGCAGCCAACTAGGAATAATAAAGATTCAAAGTAAATAATAGCCTATCATGGGAATATGTAAGTAGTTTCATTCAGTGTGTAACTATTAAGTCAGATATCTCTAAGATTGTTTTTGCACACTAGGCTTGTTTCTATCTCTCCAAATAAAATCTTCAGCTTTTTCTGATGGTTGCAAATGGGGAGGGAGGGAGGGAGGGAGGGAGATTAAGCACCACCAAACCAGTTTCAAGCATTGACAGCCAGTTATGAAACTGTACTATAAGCAAGCCAATACATAAAAATTAATGTCTTTTGCCATTCACTGAAGCATTGATGTCATAAGAAAGGAAGATGGAAGATTGGTTTCTGCTCTCTTATCCTGCATTGATTCAGTTCATGTTCCTGCTGTGTGAATTATTTAAGGCTTTTATTTCTTTCTATAATTCAACAAAAGAAAAGATGGTATCTTCTGGAGCATTCTGATTATCACTATTTCTTCCCCCATGGTTTGCTAGCTCCAAAAATGAAGAAAGAAGTATAACCAGTGGTGGGATTCAGCTGGTTCGCACCACTTTTGTAGAACCGATAGCTAATTTTTTGTTGCCCGGGCCTAGAATGGACTTCCGGAAATGGCATCCACACAAACAACCGGTTGTTCACATATTTGAATTCCACTACTGAGTACAACATTTTACTAATCTTTTACTTTTAAAGCCAAACTGTGCCAAACAAAATCAGACTAAAGTAATGACAGGTACATTGTGTAAATAAAGACCATAGCAAGGATCAGGTATTATGTAATGCCAATGAGTATCAGCCTTTCTTTAATTCTTCTCCTGAAATTAAAAGAAAACTGAAATTATTGGTTTCTTATTAAAGAAGTTCTATATAGAATTCTGTGTTGCATGAAAACGCTTCCAAAATGTGCATTCATTTCCTCTATACTTTAACAATTCATTTCTATAAATTATCATTTATAACTTCAGTACATTTTTAAAAATAAAATGTAACTCTTCAAAGATTCATTTCAAGAAATACAAAAACATTTCAAAATCTTATTTTCAGTGTCTGGTATGTCAAAAACTATTTGTGTCCCTTCTATGGAAGGAGCAGTTCTTCCAGAATAATTTTCTAAGTTCCCACCTTTCACTCTTCTCTACACCAAGTTTTACTTCATCATTATTCTTTCCTCCAGATCTTTTCTTCTTCTCCTTCTTTTTTCTACTAAGCAACTCATCCTAAGCAAGAAAAGAAGAAAAGAAAGAAGAGTTCCACAATTTAGGAAAACTCTGCAAATAAAAGTAAAAATTAAACAGGACAGGGGCTACTAATTATTTTAAAGAAATCATTAACAGTAAGTGTTGCCATGATAGTCATTCTTTAAAACACTGCTTCCCAAACTTTTTTCTTCATTACCCAAAGTTGCTTTTCAGAAAGTCCTTTTTACCCAAAGTAAATACCCAAAGTAGATAAAAAAGTAAATTAAAATTCCCTGTTGCAAGTGGATAATGGGTTCATGTATCATTAACCCCTCCCCCAAATCACTTTTATCCAATTTTGGGTAATTTACCCAAGTTTGGGTAAGACTTCCTTAAACACATATGAACCCCAACAGTCAGGTATGTTACATTCACATTAATCAAACTGTCCCTTTTTTACAGCTTTAACTTATTCTTCTCATTCAAAATTGTAATAATGTGGCTCTAAAAATATTTTTAAAATATAGATGGCTTAAATCCTGAAGAGTGCTGAAAATGCAAAACCAAATTCATACATAAATAAGGATGTTCTTTTGTTTTCTGATAGTCAGGAAGGAACCAGCGTTTAAAAAAGGAAAGGAAAAAAAAGGAAAAACGTAAACTAAATATCAAGGAAGGGAATTTAGCTTGAATTGGTTTCTCAACTCTCCTTCCTCTGAGATCATCAGATCTTGATATTAGAACAAAACCTAAAATATTTATGTACTTCAAAATGATCTTAATTTAAAAAACTTCTAGAGGGAGGAAGAAAATACTTTTTTTTCTTTTTCTTTTAGGACTATTTTTGTCAGCATGCAATCTAAAAGGCTAATTCAGACAACGGCCTGTATTACTGCATGTACAAAAGATAGAGCATGATCAAGATTCCTGAGCTGTGCCAATACATTTTGCCACTTGAACCAATAAACAACAAAGACAGGCTGAAGCTGACTGGACAGAGAGCAGAATCTAATTTTCAACACTGTTCTATCATCAATGTCCTCCACTATACTAATGGAGTATTTCATTTATAGCCCTCTCTGCTGTCTCTTCCAACCCTCACTGTTCCATCTCCCATTTCCAGATTAAAGCTACCTGTTTCTCTGTTTGCCTCCCAACAGATTAACTACTAACAGTGTTAATAATGAAACATTAATGCTTAATTCAGAAATGCTGAGCAATTCTTGATGATTTTAGAGTAAGCTTCTTACCAGTTGTTTTTCCAGGTAGATAGACCAAACCACGGCATAATGTCCTACTGTGAGGATAATGAACAGAAGTAATGCCAACTCTTCATTGCTCATTTTCCTCACTCGTCTGTAATAAAATACAGGCTGTCGCCAATCTGGTAGCCCATTGATCAGGATATCATCATACCTAGGGCAGTAAAAACAAGCAAACAAGCTCTCAATAATGCATTTAAAATTAACCTATTTCCTTCTTTTTTAATGAGACAGATATGGCTATTTTGTTTCACTCATCACCTGTTTTGTTTTTAACAGCAAACTCTTACAATTATATAGCTTGTCAACATTTAATCTGGGTTCCTAGGATAAAATTTCGAACCAGACTGCTATGGAAATGTTTACCACTAACTAGGTTTAAAAATGGTGACTCTACTGTTCTTCCAGCTCCCCCAATTGATTCACTGGAGAAGTGTTTTTTCTCAAAAATAAACCACATTTGTTCAGCCTCCCTGCCAAACAAGGGTCATGTTCTGAGAATAAAAGAATTACAAAAGGACAATTGTAAGTGGAAAGGCAAAGACCGCCAAAATCATTTATTGGCTATAATTCCTTATTTATAGCCATATGTAGAAGCAACCAATTGTCCAAAATATTTAGTTTTATAAAACTTTGATGTGGAAACTAACTTAGGAATGACTAGTAATTTAAATGTGAACATTTACAAAAATAACAAACTGTCTTTTTAAAAATGTAAAAAGAATAATTTTAGCCTAATAAGAATTTTCATTTTAAAGGTTGAATTTGCATTATTTCACATTAAAAAATAATTTGGATAATTTCTTTTTTATATAAGTTTTATTAAATTTGTTAAAATTACAATCTTTAGAGCTTAGTAAACAACATGTTGTCTCAGTTTACATATTTAATATTAATTTCTTCAATATAAACCTATTCAGTACTGCACAATCCAGTATTTTTTCCCTGATCCTCCTTTCTTCCCCATATTTTTTTCATTTTCCCCTCATTAGACAATTACAATTCCTGGTACTATTGATGTATACAAAATTAGATATAGACATCTTCATCATATTTTACTAACATTATAATACAAATAACAATAATATCAATTCATAAGTCAATATCCTGTTTTTCATGCTCTTATTAAAGTTTGATTTCCCATCAATATTTAAAGTATCTTTGTCATTTATGATTTTCTCAATATTATTTACATTTATACAGCCCTAAAAAATTATTCATACCAATCTTCCTCTTATTTTCAAATTTCCCATATCAAAAGAACAATTTTTTTTAATTTTAATTCTAAATTATATCTTCCATTATAAAAATCTAGTTATATCTAAGAGCCATCCATTCTTTTAATCATATTCAAACAGGTATATTAAACAGAAAGAGCCCCCCCCCATAGATCAAATTCTCTGTTTTTTAAATCTAACTCTCGCTTTCTTTTTTTGCCAAGTAGTTTTCCAGGCCAAGGCAATTAAATCGCCCCAAAATTTTCTTTCTATTTTTGTGAAATCTGCTTGGCATGAGGAAGACAATTTAGGTAGAGTATTTTTGGGGGGGAAATTCCGTCCTTCCATATTCCCTAAACATTTCCCCTGCCCGCTTTTTGTTTCATTTTCTAAAATCTTCTTCCTTGTCATCAGGTGTATTTAAGGGAGTCTTTTGTATTTTCATTGTTATAGGTAGTAATAATTTGTATATGGCAGTCCGTATTTCCCTTCTCCTATCTCCTCCATCTTTAGGTCCATTTCTTCTGCTTCATAAAAAAATAATTTGGATAATTTCTTATATTTACTCTTGCTAGTGTTTTAAGATGAATGATTTAAATATCTGCTAGACAATATTAATTTCTTACGTGCATAAAAATAACTTTCTCTGAAAAAAACAGACAAGTCTATTATTGAAAAGAGTTCAAATGGAGACATATTGTATGCTCAAATTAATCCTAAATAGAACACAGCTCATTGAATATTCTAATCACACTATTTCCAGTATTAAATCTGCACTAAAGGACTAATTTGGTGCAACACATTGACCAAAATATTTTAATTAAAAATATTCTGAGTTAGTCGCAGGCCTAATTACAGGAATAGCAATAGGGCCTATATTGTCATGCAGGTCAGTAGGACTCAGTAGTAGGTTTTTCTCAAGTAAATTGACCGATCCAGGAATAATAGTGCAGCTGCTAAACTGCCAGTCTTGACATGTAAATCAATTTAAATGCAACAACTGCAGTAGCTACTTTGACAGTTATTAAATTGATACCTTAGAGATATCTTAACAGAGAAAGTCAAACTTTTAAATTATATTTTTATTTTAAAAAATCAAATCAAATTTTGATTGAATACCCAGGTCATACTGTTCCTCAAAGCAAAATGCATTTTATTTCTACAGTTAAATAATTAACAGAATATATATTATAAAACTGCCTTATGTTAGTTGCTATCTATACAATTAAGAAAAACAAAATAAAATATAGCTTTATAAATTCATTTGAAGTCTTTAGCCAATACCTTTACTAAAAGACTTAAACTCAATAATAAAAAAATAAGCAATTTCCATAGCATTCAATGGATTTGCTTTCAAGTAAACCTGTATAAGTTTTCCCCAAAAAACCTTTTCTTCCAAAAATAAAAAGAATCTCAATATTTTTGGGGACTGAAAATATCTTAAAATGTTAATTTTTTTTTTTAAAAAAAGTTAAATGTTTTTAGATTATATCAAGTCTAAAATTGAAACATATTTAACAAAAAATTACAATTTACATATGAGTTATAAATTTCTGATTAAAATTATGAAATTAAACCAAAATAAAAGTTCATTCTTATACATCTGACAAATGTAGCTCACTAAAAATCAAGAAGCCAGTAAGATTGTTTTTCAAAAATTGCACAATTCACTACTTGTGTATTTTTAGGTTTTGTATACCATTCTTCAAAGTTTTACAAAAACAGATTTCAACAAATTAAAATTACAAATAAAAATCACAATTTATAATAGTAAAAACAAAAGTCATGGTAGTTATCTCTCTTAAAGCATGTTTAATGTATTTTCCGATTTGATGCAAGAAAATCTCACATGCTAAAATACATTAAACACTAAGTATTTACCAGGCTCTGTCTGCTATTTTGAACAAAAGTCTCCAAGGATTTAGTTCCAGAATCAATGCTCTATTGATTTTACTATCAGTGAACATTATGGCTCACATGACAGGCCATTTTAAGGGAAGATAGCTCCTATTATATGCCACTTTTTAGAATATATACTGTCAAAAGATAAATCACTGAGTTCTATGGCAATTAAGGACTATATTTAAAAATTAAGCTGTCTGCTTAATTTTTAGGAGTACATATAAACAATGATCCTTAGTTAGTCAGAATGCTTTGATAGTTTTAATCTTGTTTTTCACATTTAGAAAATTAGTTAATTAGGAAGTATACAGACAATTCATTACAGCTCTTGTTTGCAGAAATCAATCTATCACATAGAATGAATCTTCAAAGGCATGCAAGAGAATGAACACATAAGCAGATTGTAAAGAGTTTTTCTGTTCTCTCCATTTGCCCATTCTCCTAATTTCCTCATTTCAAATTATGAATAACATAAGAGAAAATAATTCACTACATTCATAACTAATATAAATTGGAATAAGTCTCCCAGTTCACCCTAAAATATTTCTTCAAACTAGAGATTTGTTTTGCAAAAGATGCAGTTACTAAACAAAAAATTTGGCTTCTCATATTTAGGTGGCTCAAGGCTACTATAGTGCAATTGGCTATCACATATGAACACTCAACCCTGAGCTATAGTCCCTACTTTTTAATTAAAATTGTGACAAGATTAGAACGAAAACCTATCATGAAATTTAACTGAATCTTCAACATCATTTCATTTCCACAACTATGTATACAGAACAGGATGTAAATATATAACATTTACAGGGTGGGGAAAGGATCCTTTTTTTTTTGTATTGTTCCTTTTGTATTTTTTTTCATGCATTTGTTTTGCAAACACACACACACACACACTGACACACATACAGACACAGAGAGATAATGTAAATGAGTTTCAGAACACTATATTTTCCATATGGTAGTTGTAAAAATCTATTCATTACAAAAAAGGTGATAGGATATACAAGCCTGGTGTTGGAACAATTATTTTGGTGTTCCACCAATTATTTTGGTCACAAGAATTTTAAAAAGCTATTGATGAGTTGACAAGAACACTGTGGAAAAGTTATCAAAAAGAGATTGTTCTAATAATTAAAGTTTATAAATAAATAATATATTTGGATTAAACTTTTAAAAAATTGTCTAATGAAAGGGAAGTAATTTGTTGGAAATCAACTTAATTTCATCTACTTTTTAAAGCTAGACAGCAAGTTATACCAAATGTATACTTTTACACGGCAACGAAAGTAACTATGCTAAAAGTAACTCCTACTATCAATCCACTATAACAGAGAGCATGGAAATTTTAAACATTATTTTATTTGCTATTCACTCATCTACCATATGTAGTAAGATATTAAGCCTTTGGGCATTGTGCAACAGTTTCCAAACTACTGTTTTCCTTCTTCCAGCTTCAGAATGCAAATGGTTTGACATGTGAACAATTCAAAGGGGAATTCAAAAGTTCAGCCTTTATACCAGCTTTTCTTTCACATGCTCTGGAACCAAAGATTCAAATTTCTTGTGAATTGGGAACTATGTTCTGGGCAAACAGATTTAGAATCAGAAACTTAAGCTTTCTTAAACATTCTCGTACATATTTCAAATATGCTGGCTTAGTTTACAACATTGATATTCAATGGGTAAGTAATATTTAAAAGGATGTTTACAGCATATAAAATAAATGGAACAGCTACATCCTGAGCAAACTATTTGTTTCATGGCAAAAAAAAGGCTGAAAATTAAAATAGCTGAAGATTTTGATCCAAATAATATTTTCGAACTTTAATATTATTAGGACCAACAAATCTCAAGGAAATTAATTAAGCGAATGCATTATGCAACTGGGAAAAATATACTTTTAAGAGGGAAAAAGTATTTAAAAACCATTGGTTGTCTCTTGATTAGCTGTTATTTAAGGAAGATAAATATCCTGCGTATTGTAATCAACACCAGCAGTTTTTCAACTGAATCAGTGAACCAACAGCAAAAATTCCTGCAGGCAAATACCTGGGGAAAGATTTCTCATAGAAGAATGGATGTTTTGTTTGTTGCTTTTAAGAGGAAACACCTGCTGCTACTGCACATTCCTAGCTTCATGGAAGAGATCATCATAAGAGATTTGGAGTCATTTAACTTAAGTATCATAAAAATTAATTTTTGTTTAATTGTAACTCATTCTTAAAGATGGGTAAAGATTGAACTCCTATAATGCCACACATTTCTAACATAATTTTATTAAGTGCATTAAAAAGAGCACAATGTGTAAATATTTACATGAAACTTCTAAATAACTTGATATCCATGATCAGCAACTACAAAAGGCAATTCCTTGACATTCCAACTGTATTAAAGAAAAAAGGCTGAAAAATTTAGAGTCTATATCTTTAATATTAATTAGCTTAAAGAACAGTATGCATATAAAATGAGCACTACAAAAAATAGCAAAAATGATGCACATATACATGTACATGGTAAGAGCTTGCATTTAAACTAGCTCGTACCTTTGCAACCATTTGACATAAGACATTGACCCCCATTGTTTAACTTCCTAAACTTCCTTGATCTATGACTCTAAGCTGAAAGAGTGCAGTAGGAGGCAGGGTAAAAACCATACACAAAATCACCAAAACTCCTCTGAACACTGTTCCTTGGCTCTTTCAACACAGAGGATTATCTTAAAGTAGATAATCTCTCCTATGAGACCTGGAGTCATGCCAAGGCGTCTACAAAGCCAAGAACCCCTAGAGAACATTCAGCACCCCTGCTCAGAATATTGAAAACCTAGAGGTATTTCAAATAGAACTCCTATGCTGGTAGTAAGCCTTTTCTTCCTTCCCCCAAAATATCTGGGTCACCAATAGCTAAATTGAGCACCCTAACTGCAAGTCCCAATTCTTATTCCACAAGAATTGAGAAAAGCAAACCAAGCATAAGTGATTGCCTGATTATGTTCTTTTCTCATGAAGAGTAAAAATATTTACTATGGTTTGCCCATTAAACAAATTACTGAATAATATAAAACAATTGAAAGCTGATAAGTTTGCTCATTGTTCTTAAATCTATGTATTTTAATAAAATAGGTGGGGGGGGGAGAGGAAACCCTAAAGATGGCATGGAGATTTGTTCTAAGGATCAAATTAACAATCAGATATGTAAAAGCTAACCAATGTGTTAGTAATTGAAAAATACAAATACATTTTGTGAGTGATTATAAAATCTTCTATTCCCTAAGAGGAAACACATTCATACTTACTGAGGATTCAGCAACAGTTAGAAATGTATCTAACAATCATAAACAAACCATAATCCTTGCAAGAAGCGCTGAAATCCTAGCTCATGTTAGTAGCTACAAGAGTTGAAAAGACTGCTTTGAAATATATTCAAGATAAACTCACCTATGCCTTCTCTCTTCATCCTTTAAAACCTCATATATGGCCACCAACTAGAATAAAAGGTACTTTTATGTTCAAAAACTCTGCACTGAAAAACCAGAGAGTTTTGCTATAAAATTGCAAAAATGTTGGACTATCTTTCTTAAAGAGCAAACAAAGAACAATACAAATAATTTCTTGAAAACATTTGAAACTCTCAAACATTTCTAGCAATATTCCATCTTTGGCAGTTCTAAATATTTTTCTCCACAATATAAGTTAATATCATTTTAATGTTATTTAGCCTGGAATAAAAATATTAAACATTTTAAAATATTTTATTGGTTCACTAAGATTCATAAAAATCTACCAACGGATTCCACATGGTGAGGAAAAAATATTTCAACATAATTAGAGATCAATTTTAACGTACAAGTAAACCAAAACTTGTACAAATAATTGTTTTCCGTTTGCTAAAGTATAGCTTGTGACTCTGTCCTAACAACAACAACAAAGATCCCTTAATGTCTAACTCCCAAATTTAAGAATTGCCATCTAAGAAGGTTCCTATTTTATACAATGTACTTTTCTTCTTTTTGTTTTGTTTTATCTGAACTCTGTTTTAAACATTTAGGGAAAAAAATAAAGCTTAAATGTTTCCAAAATCCTGAATTCATTTCTAAATATAATATAGTCATAATGAGGTACATTTTTGCATTTTTAATGATCACATAAGATTTGATAGTAATTATCACTTACTTGTCTAAACTGAGTTTCAGCATTTTCATCTTTATTCTTGTCTGGATGTAATATCAGTGAAAGCTTGCGATAAGCTTTCCTAATATCTGCCGATGGAGCATCCTACAAAACACAAAGCAAACTTTGTCAGAAATGAATTTCCAAAACCTTGTTAAGATCGGAGAAGGCAGCCAACCAAGCGCAGGGACCTGAGGCAATGTAATTTGAGCAATCATTCTTTACAGCCAGGATATGCAGCCAGTTAGGCCCTCAAGACTGAACAATTGGTCAATCCAATTTTGTTCTCCTTTTAACTTGTTTCAGTACTACCGTATGTGCTCATTACAAGAAGATAGTATTTGCCAGGATACTTTTAAACACTTGTTTCCTTAAAATGAGCAACTAAATCTTCAATGGCAATTAAGAGATCAAGTGGATAGATTAAAATTAATATGCCTGCCCATCTTCAAAAATATCATCTTTTACTCAGGATTTTTCTTATTTCTATAAGTTGCATTACTGGTTAAAGCTGTAGTTTTATTACTAAATTTATATCTCTCTTTAATTCCTTGCAGAACTTTCAAACAAACACTTATACTGCATGCTGCATGCGAGGTTTTGTAAGGTATACCAGTTTCATTTTCAAAAGAAACAGAAATACTAACAAAAGCAATACCCCAAATTGTGGTTCAAGTTTATTTTATTCTTTAATCTTGAAACAGCCTACTAACTACATTTTGGGGGAAATCTCAGAACTTCCTTTTATAAAAATGCACAGAATGAAATATATAAATCTAACTCCTAGTGCTTTTTTAAAGAGACACTGTGCCTGCTGCCTTCCACAATTGATCAAAATATCATTTGATGTACTATTGGCAGAAAGGATTATTTAATAGTCATTGTATCAAAGATATTCAAAGGTTTAGTATTCTGAGTAGTATGCAGAACCACCGTATCAATTTATTTCAATATTTCTCAATTGGTGAGTCCCTGATGAATAGGTGGTATTTTGGGATCTCAAGCACAAAAGATGTCTGTGGAGATTCTCAGTCATCCCGGTCATGGTTGTCTCTAAAGTGCTTTTTCAAAAGGCAACTGGGCTATGTTTTTTCCTTGAGGAAAACAATGTTTCGCTTCTCATCCAAGAAGCTTCATCAGTGAATCATGAACTGATGAAGCTTCTTGGATGAGTAGCAAAATGTTTTCTTCCTCAAGGAAAAAACACAATCCAGTTGCCTTTTGAAAAAGCACCTTTGAGACAAGTCCAAAAGATGCTTTGGGACAGGGTTAAAATTTTATCAAGAAAATTAAGCATTTGATTTTAGAAAAGTATTTTATTTAAGTTTGAGTCAGTATACTCAATGTATTCTCAATGTATTATGCTGAACATTTTCTAAAATACAGTATATGTGCACAAACTTACTATAATTGGTCAAAGTAAAAAGAGCCCCTAAAACTGTAAACCAAAAGTAAGGCAATTAAAGCAGCACTGTAATTAGTCTGTCAAATTTTCCAATACAAAGCATTGTTTACTTTATAGATTTATAGCATAGTATAAAATATTTGAGGCCAGAAGGGAATAGTAAGGTGGGGTGTATTCTGTGTGAGGGAATGTCTATGTCCATATGGCATATATACACTGAGAAGCTACATCCAGTAATCATATATATCCCATGAAAACAAATTCTTGAAAATGTTATATGATTTATCCACCTGCAGGTTTCATTCATACAGTCCTATTCTGAAGTGTTTTTCATGTAGTAAATGTGTAGTTTGAAGCATCTTTGACTAATTAATGGAGAGAAAGAGAACAAAACTTATGGATAAAGAAAAAATATTCAATATTCAAACAGAATTTTGCAGAATTTCCACTTCCCATAGCTAAGTAATAAAAATTTACTGAAAATCTAGATTCCTAAATACATTTATGAAGGCCCCTGAACATAAATTTGTTCTCACTAGAAACCAAATATCATGCAAATCAATGGAATATTCTACCAATATTTATTTTAAGGAGGTTTATATGTTTCTAGAAACTAGTAAAAATGATGGGACTAAGACATTTACATTTATCTTCATGACAACTGCCTATAATATAATTCCAATTTATACTATTTGTATAAGACTTTGGCTTCTCTTATTCAAATATTCAAGCAGTAACACTTGAATCAAAAATTACATATTGGCAAAAAAGGAGGAAAAGAAACAAAGTTAGTTCATTTTAATATCCAATCATGTCAGTATGAAGTGAAAAATGATCTTATTTATAGAAAGCCAATTTGTAATATATGTAAAATAAGTAATTTAAAGACTAAGAATTTACTCCTCCACATATTGCTTTGGTAAAATGTCTCACTAACACAATTTCATTGGAGTTGGCTGTAAGAAGGTGAGTTAGCTAAGGCAATATTGACCATGACTTTGCATTCAATTACACTATCACAAATTGCATTCAGCAGGGTTGGACTAGATGACCTCCAAGGTCCCTTCCAACTTTACTATATTATTATTATTATGGATCATCGCACAGTCAGCCAGATGTTCAGACTGGATTTGGCATTTTGTCTATCTATCGAGTACTTACCCAGGACCTGGGATAGGCAGATGTGGATGTTTGATGGTATTACACATATCGTCGCAGGATGGAAGCAGTTCCTAGTAAGGCCGCCTTTTGCAATTGACTAATAGCGAATTTGTCAATGCCAATGGTGTTCAAGTGGTGCTCCAGTTGTTTTGGGATTGCACCCAAGGAGCCTATTACTATTGGTACTACCCTTGCTTGCTTTTGCCACAGTCTTTCTATTTCTATTTGTAGGTCTTTGTATTTTGTTATCTTCTCCAGTTCTTTCTCGTCTATTCTGCTGTCTCCAGGCACTGCCACGTCCACTATCCAGACTTTTTTGTCTTTCTTATCGACAATTGTTAAGTCTGGGGTGTTATGCTTGTGCTTGTCTGTTTGAATTCTGAAGTCCCAGAGCAGTTTAATAATAATAATAATAATAATAATTATTATTATTATTATTATTTGTCACTTAATTGTGATTAAATCCTAAGGGGAATGGGAAAGTCCTTTAAGATGGGAAGGTGGGAGGGGAGTAAGGGTAAACTAGGGAAGGTGCAATGTTTAGTACTCAGTAATGTTTTGACCAACATTAGAGCTTGTGTAGACCAAATTCTGTAAAATTCCAATGTTGTAATATTGAATTGCTTTTTTATTGAACAGAGATTCATGTATCATACTACTGCTAAACTTACATAATCCATTTCCATATCACAGTCAGCACTGTACAGGTTTTTATCATTTAAGATTTTCTGCATATCCAAAAACCTACAGTAAATCTAATTTGCGTTAATAGCCTTTGACAAATTAAAATAAATCAAAACATTTTTAACAAGGGAATTTTCACCCAAACATACTGGTCAGAACTGCAGCTTTTTTTGCTACAGGAAAACTATTCTTAATCTAAATCTTGGATTCCAGTACACAATTCCTCATCCTCTAATTTTTTTAATGATTTCAACTTTTACAATCCCCTTCTTAAAATTTCAGCAACTTTCCTATCGTGCTACTTTCCAATAATATAGTACAGTTTTCATCCATCCTTCTAACTTCTGTGATTTACGATTTTTGTCATTCAGAATCCAAAATAATATTTTATTTATTTTACTCATTTGAATTTATAAGTCATCCAATTCAAATAGACTAATTTTATCCTAGCAATTACATCGGGTGGCAATAACTTCATATTTAAAAACCCAAAAAATTTACTGAACTTGGTATTTCTCCTAGTCCACTATGTATTGTAGAATAATCACAAAAGACTAGCCTCGATTAAAAGTAATTCTATGCTTTTCTACAAAATTAAGACATCATGCAACATCATGCTTTATCATTGCTGAATAGAACAACTGCAAACAGGATGACTATTTTTTCTAAATTTCTGTTTTGCTTAAAGCACTCCCAATTCCACTGTCTATTAATTTCTCTATATAGTAAAAAATCTTTTATGCATATAAAAGTTTAAAAATCACTAAAATTAGACAAACTAAAAATAAAAGCAAAACCATGACAGACATATTATTTTGATATTTTTCAGTTAATTGGAATGGGGATAGAGCCGATCAAGTAGTCTGCTGCCAAGGAGGGGGTGGATTGTGAAGTTGTAAGCTGCCTGGAATCACCTGCATGTGGATTAGATGACCATATTAATTTGTTTAATAAATAAATAAATTCATATTAGGAATTTAATTAATGTTCATGCTAAGTTAGCACTTGGTTCCATTTGTTTACTATTTCCTATTACTAAGAAATTAATGCCTATTGTTATAAATCAAATCAGACCACTTCTTAGTCCATTACAAACTTGATTCCTCTACATTTAATGTATACTGGATGAAGTACCAAACCTAGCACTTAGCCCATAGTTTTTCATTTTGTACCTTATTTCTGTCTAAAGAGGAACTGTGAATGGGAATTTTAAGTATATCAGTTTAACTTAATGCAAATAGAGTTTGCATCTTGAGCGCATTTTAAGTATACTACTTATATTTTCAACTGGTAGATTATAAGCAAGAGCAACATGACTTGCAAAACTGCTTTTAAATTAGAGATCCAGCTTTGCACAAAATAGTGGGATCATGCTCACAGTAAAACTGAGCTTTGCTAGCATTTATGACATACTGCCTCAAATATGCTAAAGTTGACCAATATAGTCTTTACTATTACTAAGCAACAGGAGTAGATCTAAGAGACTAATTTAACCTTCTCTATTTTCCTAAACATCATTGTGTAAAACCCTGACTGATCAAAGCTGTGTTGGACAGAAGATAAATATATAAATAACTAATGATGAACTTAGTATAAGTAACATTGAGACTTGGTCGTAAAATGAATAAATGAAAATGTTAATTAAAAAAATAAAATGAAATTTAAAAAAATATCTAAATGATTTCAAATAGAAAATTCTTTATGTAAAACTGAGGTTCTATCCTAATAAAAGATAGAAAAATGAGCATTTTAAAATGAGGAATAGACTTTTTTAATGTAGTGTCAACATTGGATCTTGGAAAGAAATAGATGTAGAAGGAAAGAAAGAAAGGAAAGAAACTAGAGTAGAGTTGAA